CCTAAGCTTTTTGTTTTAGAGGGGCAGGGGCATTTGGCGGAGTACTACTTGTTTGTAAAATAGCAAAATTACTTCGGGATGGGGGTTTATGGTTCTGAACTTCAGAATAATAAGAGTGTTAAAATATACACCTTCACATGCAGAGAATCCAAGGATAAATCACTCGGAAAGGTATGATCCCTAGAACGTTCCAAAACAGGAAGACTTGGTCAAATTCTAAAATCTAGGAAGCATTGATATTGACGCAAGACACATATATGGATATAATGATCATGCCGAAATTGGGAAAATGTAGAAAACTTTCACCAATTCAATCAACAGTAACACATTGTTCATTCCATGCATTTTCTTAAATATATGGTGACTGCATTGATTTTGATCCTTGTGATTTTAGGTTTAGGTGGTAGGTCCTCAACTGCTCGACCATTTTGTAGTTATTGATATTCTCAAAATGTCACCGGTTTCCCCTGAAAGTTGAAATTTCAATATGATTATGCTTGTGTATTATCTGATCATAAAGATGGTGTTCTGATGTTCTCTATCAAAATGGTATGGCTGACTTTTCACTCGTAATCTTATTATTTACAATTTTTTTTTGCTGTTGTGGCAGGTTGAGCTTGTATGCCGAGTTGCCACAGTGTTATTGCAGATCCATCACAACCAGCTTGTTTCTACCGTGGCTGCCAGACCAGTCTTAACTTTACTCAAAGATGTTCTTCATGCTAGAGTTAAGGTAATTTTAGGATTATGTGCTTATTTGATTAAGCTTAAAGAATTTTCTCATAGATAATTAAGTTTTTAAGTAGATAATTTTTTGTTCGTTCTAAGAATGTTCTATAATTTATTACTACTACTGAAATATCTCTGTGTTCTGTTTGGAAAAGGCTCACTTGAAGAAGTCAATTTGAGTTTAATAAGGAAATTTTCATATTTGTCTTCTGATGTTACGAGTGCTCCTAATATCTGAATTTTATGTTTATTGTTGTATAAGATTTATATTCCAGAATCTGGGTAATGATTTGTACCTGCTTTACTTGCCTGGAAATTGTAGCTGGGGAAATTCAATGCACACGTCTTAGCATCCCAATTCTGTTTTTCAGCAATTTGAACTCGAGTATGCCACTGCTTTGCCTTGTAAATTGATGTTTGCGTTGTCACAGGAATGCAAAGATACTCTCGGTTTCAACTTGGCAGCAATGGATCATCTTAAGGTAGGTAGTTCATTTATGAATCTGTAACATAATATTGATTTCTCTGCATTTGGAAATAACTAAAACTCATTTGCATATCGAACCAGCAATTGATGGCTGCAAAGTCAGATGCACTATTTCAAGATGCAAAAGCTAAAGTGTTAGAGATACGCTCGAAGTACTCAAAACGCACTGAAGCAAGGATGGAACCAAAAGAAGAAAGGAGAAAAAAGAAGAAACAGAAGAAGATTGATAATGGACATGTTTGGTCTTGACTTATAGACATCTGTCTGATTGTAATTTATACATCCATTAACTTGTTCAGCTATCTTGGGTAGGAACTGACGCCCTTTTTTCGACTTCCCTGGTGTCACTTCCATATTTGTCAAATTTCATTACTCTCGATAAAGGAATTCAGTAGTGAAAGCGACCAAGTTTGCTTAGATGTTGTTGATAGACGTTAGGTCAAACAGTTATACGGTAGTGTCCTGTATTTCTATCCCTAAGACGGATGGTCCATTTTTGAGCGAGGGCACCAATTTTGGTGGCAAATTTAATTATTGATGTATTACTGGCACAGTTTTGGTCTATTCTTTTTGGTTCCTAGTACTTTGCCCATCTGTTTACTATCTTAAACAAAATCTGAGAAAATTCTGTTTACTGAATTCTTTTTCCCTAATTTAGGGGCCCGATTCTTTCTTCGAACAAACTGAAGGAATCAGTTTATTGACTCGTTAGCAGAGTGCACGATTTCGGATGAGAGAATAAAGTGAGGAATAACCTTTTTGACTCTGTATGGTGTATGATGGAAGCACGAAGTTGTTGACTGTTTCAGAAAATGCCTATTACAATGACATTGATCAAGCTAGAGATCAACATGACAGAAGATAAAAGACCACACACACAATTATTTTGTAGTCACTGTTGAGCTCCGTTTGGTATGTAATCTTTAAAATCATTTTGCCTTGAGGCTCATTTTCAATCAAATGATCTTTCAATTAGCAACGGAGTCAGAATATTTTATTTGGGTGGACGAAAATTATATAGCAAAGAAAATACTTCCATAACGGTGCAGTCCTAATTTTATTTTGTCCTTTATGGGACACCGGATAAAATCGAAACGATATGGTGAAGATTTGTATACGACCCTTGTGCAAAGATGTCGTGGCGAATCCGAAATAATAACAAAGAAACTAGCTACTATTTGACTAATGCTTTCACATTTAGCATGCCAAAATATGTACCTTAACATAGCACAATTATGCAGTACAATTGTAGTAGTGACTACAGTTAAAAATTGTGAAGAAAATAAGTTAATTAGAAGTTATACACACAAGAAGTTGCTATCAGACTTGCCTGACATCCATAGAAGGATCAGTAAAGATAGACTTCAAAGCAATGTTCTTGATTCGAGTAGCCCCTTGGATTTACTTTGCACCATTTCTTCATCAATTGTCATCAGAGATGCCAGTATGGCAACAACCATTTTTTCCTGTCAACAACAAATCACTCAATGAAGTAAAATCCACGGGAGAATCTGACCGAGAAATTGAGGTTTCTATCTTCGCACTTGTTATATATGGCATATTACGCAACAAAACATTAGAAAGTGAACGTGAAATCAATATTTGATTAGACGCAAAATCAAGAATTAACAAAAATAAAATAAAATAAAACTTGCAAGTACTAGGAAAATAAGTAGACGAGCTCATCAAAGTAGTTAACTAAAGAGAGCAGTTCAAGACAGGGAGAATGATCATGCAAAAAAACTTCAATACGACTGGTACTAAGAATCGCATCAAAGAACTCCCAAACTCTCCTTTAGTAGTATCCCTTTTAATTAAACACACATCAAAGATGTAGTTGAGTAACGGGGTTTGTCTAAAAAAAAAACAAGTTCAAAAAACTAAAGTGCATGTCAACTTGGCTAGTATAAAATGAAGTTTCAGATTAACAAAGAATCACATATTATTGGCTTGCAAATCAGAATTTAACTGTTTACTACGTTATGCATTTTTTTGAAACAAATAACGCGCAACTTGCTGAGCATTAACAAAAACAAAATTTTTAAAGTGATGAAACAAGCATAAACTTCAACAACCCAACGCAATGAAATGTGACAGGTAAGGCTTTTTGAAGAATAAATCACCTCACAGCTTTTAGTGATGGTGAGTGTGTCAATTTATATTGATATACAAGAAGCCTTACAAATCAATCTAGATTAATTACATACAAATTACAATGGAAATAATGGAAAGAATATCACAGAATTAGGCTAGAATGATGGAGTCAATTCTATTACATATGTTATGCCTTAGATTGGGGGCAAAGTATCCTCAACACCCCCCCGCAAGCTGAGCATCGGATTAGAACGGATGTGAAGCTTGGATCGAAAGAATTCAAAAAGAGGTCGAGGGATACTTTTGGTGAAGATGTCAGCAACCTATAGGTGAGAAGGGACGAATTGAGTCTGAAGTTTTCCACGAACAACAAGTTCACGAAGAAAGTGGTAGTCTAATTCAACATGTTTGGCCCGTTTGTGAGAAACAGGATTGGAGCTCAGAAATATGGCACTTTTGTTGTCACATAGAAGAAGGGGCCACTGTGGAAGTGACACTAGTAAGTCCATAAGAAGGTGTTTAATCCAAAGAAGCTCAGCGGCAGTGTGTGCAAGGGCACGATATTCGGACTCACAGCTAGAACGAGAGATTGTGGATTGCTTCTTAGCACTCCAAGAAACCAAATTTCCACCAAGATAGATGGAATAATCAGAGGTAGACCAATGAGTATCAAGGTATCCTGCCCAATCAGCATCAGAGTAAGCAATGAGGGTAGTAGGAGTAGTAGAAGGGCAGAAGATGAGGCCGAAATGAAGGGTGCCTTTGACATAGTGAAGGATACGCTTAACTGCAAGAAAATGGTTTGTTGTTGGAGCATGCAGAATTTGACTGACAGAGTTGACAGCATGAGCAATATCTGAGCGCGTGATAGTCAAGTATTGAAGGGCATTTAAAAATAAAAAAAACACTATTCCACCTATTTTCATTTCCAGAAATTGGGGGCCAATCGGGAGCTTAATTTGCACTTTTGCAGGCGATTCTTGATTCGAGTTTTGTCTTTTACATTACTTTATCGCTTTAACTTAAAGACCTACTTTTAATGTCATGAATGGGTTGATGGTACCTACTGTTTATTTATTCATAATAAACTGAAAATAGGATTATAATTAGGTCTGGAGGCAATAAGAAGAGAGCAGGTATAATTCTCATATCATCATTTTAGCAATCATGGGTTCATCAAATAAGAATTGGCAAAGCACGTTCAAGTCCAATTCCTGCACCACCACCACCCACCACCTATGGTTACATGGCATCAACTCCTCTATCATGTCAACCGGCTGCCAAAAACCGACATATACATCAGGTATTTTTAATCACTCAAATTTTGTGAAAATTATATTTGTCAAGTCTTTCATTGAGATCAAGATTGACGACTAAATTTTAATAGATAAATGTGTTAGATGAGGTGGTTCAACGTATTTAATGTTATTTTTCAACAGTGACTGGAGCCGGAGGTGAAGAGAGAACTTTAGAGCCAAAGCCAAGATGGAATCCAAGACCGGAGCAAATCCAAATTCTAGAAGCTATTTTCAACTCTGGAATGGTAAATCCTTCAAGGGATGAGATAAAGAAGATTAGGGGTCAATTACAAGAGTATGGCCAAGTGGGAGATGCCAATGTTTTCTATTGGTTTCAGAACAGAAAATCAAGAAGCAAACAAAAGCAACGCCAACTCCAAAACACAAACACCAAGTCACAATCCCTTTGGCCCATCACCACCATTTCCTCAACGCTTGTGAAAGATCGATTTTCTTCCTCTTCCTCTTCGTCTTCAGATAAAACTTCTCCTAATTCAACAGAAAGGGCCTTTTCTGTCGGTTCTACTTCTGCGTTAAATGCTTCAACTTCCCCAACTTCTTCAGTGAATCAGCACTTTTTTCAAGCTCCAAGCGATTTGATAGCTGATCCCTTCTTTTTCCCCGTGCAACAAGGACACACTGCTGCTTTGCCACAAGGGTTTTGCTTTCCAAATGTTTCAGATCAGTCTAATCATTTACTCGGTGACTTTATGTGGATGAATAAAGGGGCTTTAAAGAAAGCTGAATATGAGAAGATTAAACTGCAGGAACAGCTAAGTCACGTTGTAGCCACATCACAAACCTTTGCTCACACCATTGTTCCTCCTTCTTTCACTTTTCCATCCCCAATCAATCCCATTCAAGGTAAAAGCTTTTCACCTTGTTTTCTCTTTCATTAGGGTTTATTAAAGGAAAAAGTAGGGTTTTTATTTTTATTTTTTTAAGTTTTTCCATGTTTTCTATCTAAAAGAAGATTGTTCAGAACCGAAAATGACAAATTAAGAGTGTGTGTTACTTTCGTTTATCTCGAATTTCAATGAATTGACTGAGGTTCACTGTCCACTGTTATAGACTTTTTTCATACGTTATGATAATGGACATTTATAACATTATTGCAGGAAAAGATATAAGTTGGTATGTCCCATAAAGCATATAACTAAAAAGAGGATAAAAATAGTGGATTCAATAAAATGTGGGATTAAAAAGAAATTTGACCAACTAAAAAAAAAGGTTTACCAATTAAAGGGTAAGTCAGATGTAATTTTTTTTTTCGTGCATAGAGACGTTAGAATGTGCCAATCACTCTTTATGTTACACGTGAAAAGTATGGCCTAGGCATGATATAAGATAGCAGGACGGTGGTCATAGAAGTCGAAATCCGCTAAGGAGTGTACCGTGTTACTATTAATTGCATGTTAGGAATTGAAAAACCGAAAAATTGGAGTTGTTGATATGATGTTTGTCAGTGCAGGAATAGGCAATTCCGTTCAAGTACCCAAAAAGTCAACAGTGTTTATTGATGATGCATGCTTCGAGGTAGTGGTGGGACCCTTCAATGTGAGAGATACATTCGGTGAAGGTGCAATGCTCGTACACTCCTCTGGCCTTCCGATAGTCACAGATGAGTGGGGAATGACTCTTCATCCTCTACAAGATGGTGGTTTTTATTATCTAGTGCGCTCGTTTACTTCATCTCCATACGAATGACTGAGTTGAAGAGAAGAGCCGGTTATTTTTAGTTTTCTTATTTGAAGTGCCTCTCCTAGCCCTCTAAGGACCTTTTTTTTTACAGTTTCTATTCTGTACTGTGAACGTGTTCCATGGGGTACTATGAAATAATTATGTATCAATGGACTCATCGTGTGTACTTGTTATTTCATGCTCAACTCCATCATTATCTATGCATAATTTCATTTATTTCAGTACTTTATTATATCTAATGGATGTGGGATTCTCTTTACCAATTTGAGTATGAATTTTAGTTAAAATGTACATATTTCACATCTTTCTATTCAACTTTCGCAATCAAGACCAATTTAACATGATATCGTACAATTTATATTCACAATTTAAAAAAAAAAAAAAAAAAAAAAGGAATCTATGTTTTCTGATGAATGATGATCACTCTAGATTGTTTATTTTATTAACGACAAAAATAAAACTATGAAAACTAACAATATTCAGAGATGGAAAGTGCAATTAATATATAAATATCCAACATCTTAATTATACTTTTCGTCATCATACGTTACTCCGAACATATGGTCTCTTTATAGTTCATTTTTCACTTATATATTTGTTGCTTGAGGGAGATTGTGTAAATTTACCCCAAATTTTTTCGAAAAATCTACCTCCTTTTCATAGTCCTTATGAATGTGTCCAAAAACGTTCCACTCATATTCCCTAGTCCTTGAGTAGAAAAATTATAACTTCCACCTCCAATTACGGTGGACTATTCTCTTTATTAGCCACCCCATAATTTATGATATTCAATCCTACATTATACAAATCGTTTTGAATTAGTTGTTGATCTGGATTATCATGCATTGTATCTGTAAGCCCAATCACAGGGTCAACTTGTTCTATCAATGCCCTAAAGTCACTTTTCACAAGCTGTTCTGGTACACTAAAAATCAACCAGTTCTAGCCTGGAATCCACCGACTTAGTTGACTAAGCTGGCAGGCTTTATCTACTAACTGATGAAGTGGGGTTGAGTGTGTAAGATTGCAGGGTGATTACTAGCAAATTGACTTGAACATGATCTGTAATATCTTAATTTATGTACATAATACTCTTGTGTGAGAAACTGGGATGATCGAAATATCAATCTGCAAAATTCGTTTTGCTTCTATTGCGTAATATCAGTCCTGTTTTTTGCATGAAACGTCATATTTTGAAATTTGCTACTGCGTCTGATTGACCTAGTTATGGATTTACGTGGATTTTATTCATGACTGAATTGGTTGGTTAATATACATTATCAATGAAATATTAGGCCCAGGCATGTTAACCCACTCTTCCTTTCAAATATCTGGTTTGTTCCGTTCTCAACTCATAGGCGCTAATGGCAGAAAAATGGACCATAACACAAAAACTTATTAGTTCATTTATAGCACACGAAAAATGCTATCAGTTTCAGAACTAGGTTATTAGAAGTCCCACCAATATTATAGAATTTTATAAATATTTTTATATCAACTCATCTATAGCATTCAGAAGTAAGGATTCAGTCTCGCTTCATCGCTCGCTTGACTGAACTCGCTAGAAAAAGAGAGGCAAAAAAGGGATTCCCCGGTACCCATAGCTTTTTTCATAATGCTATGGTAAGTGGGGTCATTAAAAGTCACTTCTTTATTATAAAATTTTATGAATCCTATATGCTCAAAATCTTTTAAATAGCATTCATTTACCGATATATATTTTAAGTTTGTAACATTCTTCCATTCTTATCTTTTATGTTTTGATAGCATTTTTACATTGTGATTTCGGTTTTGTTTTTGGTTTAACAATATTCTTTTTACTGTTTTGTTTCTGTCTTTAAGTTTACAAATGCAATAGCATTCCTATTTTTATCACAAAAAACGAATACCACAGGAAAAAAACAAAGTCAATATGTAGTACTATGTTCTTACAAAAATAGATAGTCTAATGTCATCATACTTTCACACTAAATACTTATATCAATACAAAAATAGAATGTGATTACGTGTAGTAGAGACATCTTAACACCTGAAATTGTCATAGATTTCCTTAGAAGTAAAGAAATGGAGATTAAGCCCTTGTTTGAGCCCCTATTTTTTGGAAAGAATGAATTTTTGAATAGTATATTGATGGGAAGTGTGTGGTTAAAAAATAAGGAAAAGTTTTGAATTTGCGTGTAGTATTATTTTATTGAAAAATGTATGATTGAAATGGTCTCAAAACACTGTTGAAAAATATATTTTTCTAAAAGAATGGGGCTCAAACAAGCCCTAAGGTTAAAAAAATGACAAATGGTGTGGTGTAGTATATATGATGAAGTGTAGAATGCAATTTAAGCAAATGTGTCTAGGAAGGGTTCAAGGCAGTAATGACTAGAGTGATGAAGGTGGTAATGTCACTTTCCACATCCCCGATACACATCACCAATGTATCCTCAGATATCTATACCCTATATTATCAATAGATACACTTACTATTAACGCATCTCAACCTACTATGCATGCAAAAATATTGCATAAAGTAATAAGATCACTATCAAATTTATAGAATTACACACATCAAACAAATAGGGGACATAGATTTTGCGGATTATTTGACTTCTGTGGCCAGTTCTATTAAGCTTAGGACTGTGATGGCCGCAATACTTAGCTATTGATGATCCCCAAGATGTCTTTGGCTGAATGTTCACACCTGATTCACCATCTACATTTCCTACATTCACTCTCGAAAAATTGATCAAAAGTGTAACATATAACAATGTAACAGAATTAAGCAATCATACATCCAAAAACGATTTTACATAGATGCACATACATTATCCATGTTTCCGATCAATAAACCTCATTGGGTCATAACTAGACCTAACAACAACATTCGCTTCACCTCTTGCCTTACTCTTCTACTTCTCCTTCTTCTTAGGATAATCCTTCATAAAGTATCCAGCCTTACTACAATTGTAACACCGCTTACTACCGAACTTTTCCGAACCTTGTCCTTCTAATATTTCAAACGATTGGTTAAACAATCTCAATGATAAAAGATAATTACAAAATATCTCACACTTTTAGGCATACACATATTTTGCCTTTCACTTCTTTCATCTACTCATACTCAAAATGGAGAGGTTATACACATGCATATATATGGTGAGCTATTGTCGGTGCCGGTGGAAGATTTCTTTACACAATTCTAGCAAATCGCTGCCGGTGGATGCAAATAATTCTTACCAATTTGGATTATTCTAGACTTCTTCTAGATTATGAAGTAATTTTGGAGACAAAATCTGTTGCTGTAGAATCCATAATTGAAGGTAACCAAAAATGGATGAAGCACCTCAAACAACCTGTAATCCTGGCTCCACCCCTACTTTAAAGATTATGTCATGTAAGAGGCCAGCTATGATTCATCCCATACACACAAAATCCCTTGGTCAACTACAAAAATTAAAACTTGGGGGACCAAAGTACTTGTCCTGTTGTACATGTAAAAGGTAGAGAACCCTATTTTTCTTCTTCCAACTTACCAGGCAAAAGCAAAAAGATCAAGTAAGCAATTGTATAATCTAAACATTATAATCATAGTCTGCATAGATTCATAGTGAAGGAACAAGTAAGAATCTCAAAATCAAACCCAACAAAAAAAATTAGAAAACCCATTGAATCAATGCCAATTCTAATGTAAAATTGATGAAAAAGACTGAAAACGGTACCTGTGGAATCCATCTCTGGTGGCTTTCTCAAAGGAGATTTCATCAGTGGGTACAGCCATCCAAGCGGAGTCTCTGGCTATTCACAATTCACAGAACAAAACAAAATCAATACAGCAGAACAAAATTCACAAAACAAAATCAATTCGCAGAACAAAATTCATTTATTTATTCTGGCCATTCACAATTCACAGAACAAAATCAATAAAGCAGAAATCACAGAACATTCAACACTCAGTCAACACAGAACAAGAAAAACAACAAAAAGAGAGAGAGAGAGAGAGAAAGGTGCTCACTTCACAATCAGCTTCTAAGACTAGAGATTTGGCAGCTAGTAGCGACGGCGGCAACTCCTCGCCCTCACCCATCGACAGCAGGAGCTAGTAGCAAACTTTGCTTTGCAATTCATTGTTCGGCATTCGCACAAATCGCTTGGAAGGGTTTCAGGTTTTGAATTCAACGAGAAATGGCTTTGGTGTCTTTGACCATTTGCTAGGTATTAGTTTGGGTATATGTAATCACTAATCATTAATCAATGTGATATATACAATTTTGGCTAATGTATATTTATAAAAAAATAAAAAATAAAAATAAAAAGAGGCCCTCAGGCCCATATCAATTGTTACTAACCAAAATAAGGTCAAACAGAAACAAGAAAATAAAACCCAGAAACCCAGATTCTTACGGCATTTCATCTTCCTCAGCTTCTTTTCCTCTTTCCGATTGCAACTGTAACACCCAGCGAGCAGCGACAATGGCGAATCTAGTGGATCCAGGTCAGGTGCTGGCAAGGGAGAGGAAAATGAATTTCTCTTTCCAGTTATTTTAATTAATTGCAAAAAAAATGAAAAAGAAAAAATGGAAAATGGCGAAGTGAGGCCCCCTTCCAGTTTTGGCCTGAGGCGCAGGCCTCATCTGCCTCGCCTCAGGACCGGCTCTGTACACAGGGCTTTGTTGTTGAAAATATTGTTCGAGTTTCAACACCACAAGATAACAAATAGTAGTATATTAACTCAGATTTAATAAAATTTAACCCTTTGTCCCGGCCTTTTTAGCAAGTGTGTCACCCAGGGTACAAGGAGCATGATTGACTTGACATCATCCTCACCTTCCTTATTTCAATAAATAATGAGAATACTAATTATTATGATAATAACTTATAAATATAAATAGTTGTAGTATAATTATGAATATTAAGAGCATGTTTGAGCCAACTTTTTTGAAGAATGTATTTTGGAATAATAGATTGATGGAAAAAAATGTGATTAAAAAATAGAAAAAAATTGACTTGCGTTAATATTATTTTATTGAAAAATGTGCAATTAAAAAGAAGAAAAAACAAATATTTTGAAAATAATGGAAATCGAACAAATGCTAATTGTGTGAACATATTTATATATAAATTATGAATAAGGCTTCTTGTACATTGTTTGCTTGACATGAAGTTTGACACTCAATTGTTTTCAAATATTTTCAAAAATGAAGTTGGCGGGAAAGTGTGTTTTTTCAAAAAC